AGAATATGAAAGGGAACCCGAACTAGACGCTTGATATCATCTATCCAATCTCGCTGAAACAATATCTTGAGAAAATAGCTCCTGGTGTTCATGACCTCCTGGTGCAATTCTGAGATCACAAGAATCGGTACCTTTGTTAGCCCACATTGACACAATGGGAGCACAATTTTAATTTACATTGCACGGCATTACATACATACACCATATTATGCCCAGCGGTATCAATTCAACAAGGAATTATTAATTCACTGCGGTCTCCTCGCGATTTCAGCGACATTCTCGAAGTAATTACGAAGGACAAAGTGAGATGCAGCATTTCAAAGAGATAGCACTCGCATACAACTATGACCGTTAAAGCGAAACTTAATTCGCTGAACAGAAAAACAGTGTTTCATAACAAGAAGCAATTTTTAAAAGATCATTGTTGCGAAACCATTAAGAGATCGCGGATAGCGACATATGTGCCGGATAAAGTCAACAAAAATGAGTAAGACATTATTCGAATAATTTGATTTGGCTCAGTAGTAGTACTATACCAGCACTTTGGAAGACCCCAGGATCAGTGTTCATTATTGTTCCCTTTCGTTTTTCTTTTTCCATTGCTTTTTATTTCCATGTAAAAAACCATGCGTGTTGGAAATTATGGATATACTGCGAAAGACAAGGCCAACGATGGGAACTGTCCAACAAAGTTTCCAGCTTCTAAACGTTCTCGTGGATAACTATGATCCCCCAGTTAACGAAATCCATCGTGAAGGATTAGATATAATTTTGGTTGAAGGAATGCAATTCAAGGTGTTATTTTATCTTTCTTCATAAAAAAAGGATCTTCTTTTACAAGGAATGGAGGAGTGAAGAAGTTAGATTCACTTTTAATAATCCTTCATTTGCAGGAGTTCTTTGTTGAGCATTTTGCTGCACCTTCATTTGGATTATATTCGGTAGTTTATTTTGTAGAATGTTTTCATCCAGTATTACGCGACACATGCTCTGTCGGTACTTGCAAGATACATGACAGAAGAACAATTGAAAAATCTGATACCGCGGGGATTAAAAAAGGGAATCACAGCTGTACTGGAACGCGATGTTTTTTTGATCATCCAAGAGGTATAACGTTTTACATTTGCTATTCTGTAAGTCTTTTCAAGAAATTCATCCAGGTGTAACACTTGAATCAACGCTAAACCACTATTGTTCCAGAAAAATGTTGAACGAACGAATTTTATTCTCATGATTTTGCATAATGAGTTTCTGGTCTATAATTTAAAGTTGAACGTTGTATTGAAAATGTTTAGGGCATTGAAGCGTGTTCACATATAGCCGTCAAGAGTTCTTCTCTGCGCGATAATATTGCTAGTTGGGCTTCTTTGCGTGTAACAGAATTGCTAGCTGCGCACCACCGTGGAATATCGCTTGAATTTACACGCTCAGTTGCGTCACTTCTACAAGACTTGTGTTATCATAAACCCATTCCGGAATTTGTCCTAAAATGTGTTGCAGGCAGTGTTCGTTTTCTTTTGCAACATGAGGTTTTGTTTTTGCTTATTTTCAAATTACGATTAACGAAACAGCTATGAAGGTTTCTGCGTTGACATGACTCATTGTTTTAGACTCATTTGTTTTATTGTAGACTTCTATAACTGTATGACTGTTATGAAGATAGAATCTCGATAGGTTTAAATCCTCTGGTGTCATACAGAGGCCGAGATTTATAGTGGTAATATTTGACATTCGTTCGTATGGTGTTAAATAAGTCATCAATATCCAGGAGCAGGAAATCCGGGCAACTGTTTTGAACGTTATGTTTCAAGTTGCTAGTAACGAAGATTTCATTATCACATTTGAAAAAAGCTACATGAGGAGTATTCTTCAATTTTTCGACAGTACAATTGAAGATGAAGCTAGAATGGCATTTTTTATCATTGGATACTTTGTAAAACAACATAGCAACAACACCATTGTAATTTTTTGCCGATTTTGAAAAGAAGAAAACGAAAGTCTTTTTCACAAGTTTCTATTTTCTACTCTAATTTTGCTCTTATAAGGTACTGTTATCTATAGATTTCTTCACTGTTGTTATTGAGCTCATTCAATTGCAAGCTGTATGAAACGTAATAATCATTATGTCGGTTAACATAAATAGGGAAGTAATTACTTTTTTTAAAATGAGTTGTGGAAATTGCTCTCTTTTTACTGTAGAAGCAAAGAGAAAGGGCGAGGAAGTTTTTATATGTTACTTTACCTTTGAGTTCATTTAGAAACACTCAGTTTTAGACACTTCTTCATCTGGGACTAATTAAGAAGATCATGCCTTTTCTCGCTCGTCATTCCGTTCCACAGATCGGTTTCGAAACCTGTTTAATCCTTCAGAATCTTCTATCTAAAAGAAAATATATCAAATATGTGGGATCCATAGTGGACTCTGGAATTGTGCTGTTGCTTCTTAAACTTTTGGATGACGTGAGTTATGCTGCATTCAAATGTTCTGGAAAAAATGGAAATGGATGACGTGGAAGTGAAGGATAAGCGTTTCACTGGTAGGAACAACCATAGCGGGCACTACGTACTTAGTAGCAACACTTTGTTAAATTAAGTTTGTAGTGGAGGGTAATAGCTGATGACTTCCAACTCTTCTTAGGGTTATTGTTGATAAATACTGATTTTATCCACTGACACATTGTGTGCTGAAATTATATTCTTCTTTATAAACTTTCAGATTAGAAACACGAATTTAAAAACAATTCACATCCCAAGGAATGAATATTATTGCTCTTCAGTTAATGTTGTTTTTTATAACAATCGTAACGATCTCGATGCTAAATTTTGTATTAGATTGACTACTCTAATCTACGTTTCAGAACACTGGAAATACTGTACTGGGAAATT